TGGAGTAAAAAAACTGTGCCTTCTGAGCCACTTTTACGTAAACTCAATTCATTAAATGTGTTTAAATCAACATATTCCTCGTCATACAGTTCATGTATCAAATAAAACATGGACTGTCTTCAACGATACTCTATCCTTATTTTAGAAAAGTAAGCCATAAATACCCCACCAAGTTCTCAGAAAATAACTTTGTAACTCAAAAATATAATCTAAAGTTATGTTCTTATTTTATTTCAGTACCCGGGACCAATTTTGTGGAAAAACTTTCAGCATATTGTTAATATTAAAGAAAAAACATTTCCGCAATTCAAACCTAAATTAAGACGTTATTTAGTACTTACGGATTTTAATATAGCAGATTTTCTCTGTCAAAAAAAAAATTATTAAACTAAATTAGCACCATAAATTTAAAAATCTAGACCATTTAACAATATTAAGAATTTCAATGTCTTTATCATAGTTTCATTGAAAATATATAATCTTGAAGTTACCTACAACTTTCTTGATATATTTTCTTTGTTGATATATTTTATGATATTGGAACAGAAATTTTATTTGAATTTTGAATTATTTTAAAAGAAAAAAATATATACAATATATATATCGAATCACATTAAGTTTATAACCAATAACAGCAAATTTTTGTCTTTTTTATTACTATATTTTAATCATTTCTTTTTTTTTTTTTTTTTTTCTTTTTTTTTTTTTTTCAATTATTTAATTACTTTTTTTTTTTTTTAATTTTATTTCTTAATATCTTAAAATTGTCTTTTTTTTAAATGCTGTTGCTTATATATTACGGATTATTATATATTACAGATATTTATTTGCGTTACTATTGGGGCTCGGTGATAAGGCTAATTTATGCCTTCTTCTTGCTCCAGCCAATTGTACTTTTTATATTGTTGTACTTTTTGAATATTATTAAGGGCGAAATAAACTAATAAACTAAAATAACTATTAAACTATCAATACTATATTAATGTATCAATACTATATTTATATATTTTTATCAATATAATAAATGTATATTTTATATGGTATACCTGGAGAAGGAAAAAAATGAATAAATAAAATATATCAGCAAATATATTTAAAAAAAAATTTATAGTTTTCTTCTTCTTCAGGTTCTCCGAGACCGGAGAACCTGAAGAAGATAAAATCTTATCATCAGTAACCTTTGATAATAAAAATTGGAAATAAAAGTGTATTGTTAGAAAAAATCATGTAAAGAATCCTGATTGGCAATAAGTTCGGTTATGTTCTTTTAAATTTTTGAGAGGTATTGGCTTCTTTAAGTTTACCACTCAGGCTTGTAAAATGGTTCCATAGCATTGGGCCACGATAGGAAATGGCAAAGCTCGTAAGTTTTGATGTACGAAAGCTTTTTTAAATCTTCCGGTAGATGGCGTGTTGTATTGGTTTAATGTTTTATGGAAAATATTTTCGAAAACCTTCACCGTTTTTTTTTTGACTGATGTTGAAACATAGATTGTGTAATTTTGAAAATATTTAATTCATAAATATCAAGTGCCCTCATGCTTTTTAGCAGAGGTTTAGCATTTGTGAAGCAATTTTGAAAATGAGTAATGCGTGCTGCGTGATTCTGTTGTTTAAAGAGACAGTCGAGTTTAGATTTATTTGTACTGCCCCAAACAATATTGCCATAAGATAAATAACTATTTATGAATGAAAAATATAGTTGAGTTGTGTAGATTTGTCTAAGATATGTCTGGTTTTATATAAGATGCCAATACTTCTTGAGATTTTATTGCTAATATGTTTAATATGATCTCTCCAGGATAAGTTTTTGTCTATTAAAATACCAAGTAATTTATTTGTGAATAAGCGTTCAATTTTGATGTTATTTTTATATAGCATTGGAAAAGGTTTTTGGAATAGATTGAAACTTTCGTATTGAATGGAATAAGGAAAACTTTTATCAGTGTTTAAAGCCATCATTTAGAGAAATAAACTGCTTTCGATCAGTTAAGTAACTGGTAAACCATTATATGGTATTTGTAGCTTATTCCATAATATTTTAGTTTTTCTAATAAAATCTGATGGTTAACGGTGTCAAATGCTTGTGACAAGTCTAGGAATATATCTAAGGTGAACTTGTTATGAGAAGAAGCTCCACTGATAGCTTCAACAAGTTGCATAAGTGCATTTCCGTAGAGTAATTTGATCAAAAACCATGTTGGTTATAATAAAGAAGATTTTTATCATACAAAAACGCAAATATCCTACTATACATGATACGTTCGAGGATTTTTGAAAATACAGGTAACACCAATATAGGTCGATAATTTGTAACCAGACTTTCATCTCCTGATTTAAAAATGGGTATAATAATTGCAACTTTCATTTTATCTGGAAAAACACCTGTTTTTAGTGATTTGTTAAAAATATCTAATAAAACATCTTTAATAAGTTCATAGCAGTCTTTGATTATGCCTGCTGAATTAGAATCATAGCCTGTTGCGTTATTTTTATTTAACTTTTTTTATTGAATTATCAAGTTCTTTACTTGTGAGTTTTTTAAATGCTAAGTTTTTATCCGACTTCAATAGATAGCTCAAGAAATGTGCAGGAGTGTGTTTAATTTTGCTGGCTAAGCTTGGACCAATATTTACGAAAAACTCATTAAACTTTGTTACCACCGATTTTACATCAGAGATGTAAAATCTGTGTGCCGTCTACAGTAATCACGCTTGGTAAGACTTTGTTGTGTATTTTTTGTTTTCCAAGAATCTCTTTAATAGCATCCGACGTTTTTTTGCAATGACCTTTTAGTTCTAACAGCTTGTTTTTGAAGTATGTTTTAGTGAACCAAGGATTAAGAAGTCCTTTAGTTTTAATACGGATTGTTTTATTAGAAAAATGCTTTATCGTACAAATTGAAAAATTTATCTAGAAAAAAGTTGTAGCTGTTATTAGCACATGTCTCGAGAAAAACAAAGTTCCAATTTACAGTTGATAGCTCTAGTTTAAACATGTTTTTTGCTCAAGTTGTAAAGATTTTTTTTGAAGTACCAGTCCTTTTTTAGTACATCTTTTGGATTTTTAAAAATTGCAAAGACTAGGAAATGGTTGTTGTCACTTCTGATGATGCCTGATTTAAATATAGATTGGAAGAGTGTATTTGTGAAAGTATTGTCGATTGCGGAACAAGAGTTTTGTGTTATTCTTGTTAATTTATTTATTATAGGCATCATTTCAAACTCATTAAAGCGATCGTAAAATTGTTGTACTTTAATATTTTCACCATATTTTAAATAATTGACGTTATTATCTCCAAGAAATAAAAATGAGCGGTCTTTATTTTTTTTGCATGCTTTTTCAAAATAATCACTTAAGTGATTTTGAAACTTATTTAAACATCCGTTTGGTAGTCGGTATGTAGTTGTCACAATAATATTCTTAGATGACTTATTGTTAATTTGTAAAGTGAAAGATTCAAAATCCGGCTCAGAAAACGACAGTTCATATCTAATTTTATAAGTAAATTCATCAAGCACATAGACAGATATACCACCGCCTGTTTTTGATGACTTACGTTCAAAACTAATGGCTTTGTAGTTGAGCAAAATAAATTTAGAATTTTGATTAAATGTTGTATCTAAAATCCAGCTTTCCGTTAAACAAATAAAGCTAAAGTTAAAGTTGAGATTATCTAGTAGGACTTTTAGTTCGTCGAAGTTTTTAGTAATACTACGAATATTTAAACAAAACACTGAGAATTGATTAGAAAAACATAATTCACATCTTTTAAGGAAAATAGTGGCTTTATCTAATTTAAAGTAAGAAGTATTCAGTTTGTTTTTTTTGAGAAGTTCATCATGAATAAGTTGAGATTTTATTCCAGTATAGTCAATATTTGTCTTTTTTGAGGGAGATACTTTTGATGACGTTACTAAATTAGTGGTTGCTAGTGGCTACTTGTGAAAATTTTGAGTAAGATTGTCATTTCTAATACCGTAATGAAATTTAATTTTTTCTTGTTCACTTTACTTTTTCTTGTTCACATTTTTTTCGTTTCGTTCTATAAAATTTTTTTAGAATGAATCTTTGACTTGCTGTTAGATCGCGATTCATATACGCATTTTCATACTTTTTGATTTTTCCTAATTTAATTGATGCTTTAAGAAACAAAATTTTTGTTATTAACGTCTTCAAGCTCGATAAGCAAAGGATCGATGCTTCCTTTAGATTTAAGACGGCGAATAGATTTCACTTTTGCTCCATCGGATTCGATAGCACTAAGTAAATTATTTACTTGCAATTTGTCATTTTTTAGTTTTCCCGGATGTGAAGAACATTGCGTAGCTTCTAATCAATAGATGATGAAGTTTGTTTCTTTACGTTCTTGGTCTTTACGTTCCTTTGTGGTTTCAAAAAGAAGAGATAGTTGGTCATTTGTTTTTTTGGCAGCCCCTGATACAATTTTTGACCATGTAGTTCCACTTGTATCAGAATTGACTTCTTTTGATTTTTCCATTTCTGTAATTATACTTTTTAGTTGCTTATTTTTTTAACATATTGCGCAATTGCCAAACATTGCCTCGGATTTTGAGTTATTTATTTCATCCTCGAAAATTTTTATTACGCCATCTAACATCTTTTTTTATCTTTTTTATCTTTTTGCTGAGCCGTTAAATTTGTCATGATTTCAATTTCAGGTGTAGTTTAGTAAAAAAAATTTTTTTGTTTTGTTTGTTTTCTTTTTTTTATTACACAGGGACTAAAAAGTTTAAGTATGTGTTTTTTCCGTCATTATTGGAATATTATAGTGGGAACCCACTGATCTCTATGTTAATAAGTTATAATAAGTTATTATAGAGATCAGTATTGGAACCTGGCAAAATAAAAGTCTTACTTTTCGATTTTTTATCCCGCCTTAAAATTGCTACCTATAAATATATATTTTACAGATCTGCCACTAAGTGCATGGAATTATACCCGGGGTTTTAAAATCAAAACGATTGTTATTATTAAAATTACAAAATGGCACCAATTAAAAAGCAAGGGAGCATATTAACGGCTTGCTTGAATTTCATAAATCTGCAAAAAATTTTAAAACTTGCTGAAAATGTGCTTTATAATCCCAACTATCTTTGGGTAACTGCTTTGTTGCTGTTTATTGCTGAAATTCCTGTGAATATATTTGTCATTTGGAAAATTAATTACACAGAAATTGACTGGGAAGCATATATGAAAGAAGTAGAAGGATTTTTGAACGGAACTTATGATTACTCAAAGCTTGAGGGAGGGACTGGTCCGTTAGTTTATCCAGCTGGCTTTGTTTACGTCTACTCATTTCTTTATTTCTTAACGAGTCAAGGTCAAAATATCCGATTAGCACAGTATATATTTACAGCATTTTATCTATTGACATTAGTTCTAGTCTTTTATATTTATCAGAAAACAAAGAGTATACCACCTTATGTTGCATTTTTTATTTGTTGTGCTTCATATCGAATTCATTCAATATATGTACTTCGACTGTTTAATGATCCATTGGCTATGATCTTTTTATACTTCAGTGTTGTATTATACTTAAATGATTATTGGTCTTTAGGATGCTTGTTTTATTCCTGTGGTGTTAGTATTAAGATGAACATACTGCTTTTTGCTCCTGGGCTTTTTGTTTTATTACTTGTTAGACATGGAATTAAAGGAAGTATTAAAAATATAAGTATATGTGCTTTTGTTCAAGTTGTTTTAGGCTTACCATTTCTTAAAGAAAATGCCTCAAGTTATGTTCTAAGATCTTTTGATATAGGGCGACAGTTTTTTTTTGTTTGGACAGTCAACTGGAGATTTTTACCTGAAAATATATTTTTATCGCGTTGGTTTCACTTCATATTGTTATTTTTACACATGTTAGTGCTTATGTTATTCATTCTAAAAAAATGGCCTAAACCAAATAATAGCTGGTTATCAATGCTCTCAAAAAGTTATAAAGGAAGAATATTATCAAGCAATGAAGTTGTTTTTGTTTTGTTTTCTTCAAATTTTGTTGGTATGTGTTTTGCTCGTTCTCTACATTACCAATTTTATGTTTGGTACTTTCATACATTGCCTTTTTTGTTATGGAGCATTAAATCAACTCCTGCATTTAAGTTGTTAATTCTTGGGCTGATTGAAATGTGTTGGAATACCTATCCATCAACCAGTTTATCATCTGGAGTTCTTCATAGTTGTCATTTTCTTATATTAAGTGGACTGTTAATTAAAAACATAAACTTTGAAAGAAAACATGAATAGTTCAATAAAATAATGTTAAATTGTTTATACAATTAGAATATTTGGTGTTTTTATTTCTATACATATGTATCAGATTTAAAGAAAATATTATAAAATCATATCAGAATAAAAAATCATATCTGAATTTTCTTTTTAACATCGATTTGCAAAGATATGAAGGTATTAATGATAATATAATCATCATTATTTGTTTTTTTAAATATTTTATACTTAAATTAATTTATATAAAAGTTTTAAAACAGTTGCTTTTGTTCATTTCTATGTAAATGAAAAAACAATAAATTTCTTTGATCATAGAAACAAATTAATAAAGGCTGATAAAAAAAAAAATATATGAAAATTTATATCAGCTAATATAAAAGTTCATTATATAAAGTTTTCTTGAAAAATATTTTTATAATATTAAATTTAAAAGAAAAATGAGAGAAGAATGTTTTTAATAGAACTATCAATCTAACTTAGTTTATATACTCCAAGGTTAATTTATCTTCAACTTTGTTCATATATCTTCAAGGTTTACGTTTAGCTTTTTGATTGCTGCCTCTACCACCTAGAGGCAGCAATCTTCTTTTTCATTATTCTTTGTTTTTTTCTTATTTTTCTAAAAACACTGTATGCTATAATGATAAGCAAAACTAGTGGACAAATGCTTACCTAAATATGCTACAGAAGATATTCTATATTATATATATATATATATATATATATATATATATATATATATATATATATATATATATATATATATATATATATATATATATATATATATATATGTGTGTGTGTATGTATATAAACAAAACATATATATATATATATATATATATATATATATATATATATATATATAATATATATATATATATGTATGTATATATACATATATAAATGCAGCATTAGACATACACTGATGGCGTCTAAAAAAAACAGGAAGTTGTGGGGGCTTCAGTACATATATCGACTATCAAATAGCCTGACCCGCAATGGAGTGCTGCTACATCAACTGAGGGTTTGGCATAAGCAATCTTTTCTTTCATTATTATTTGTTTTTTTGTCCTTTTTCTAAAAAATTAAAGCACACTTTTTTACTTAAAAGCACAAGAATAGTATTAGGAAATTGCAACCAAACATGGATTAAGTAATGTAACATATGGATTGAGTAAAGTATATATATGTGTGTGTATATATATATATATATATATATATATATATAATATATATATATATATATATATATATATATATATATATATATATATATATATATATATATGTCAACTGTATTTAATTAAAAATTAAGGAACCTTTTTTTTTTTACATTTTTTTAACAACAGTGTTTTATTGGCAATAAACTCTGATTTTCGGCAATATTTCTACTAAATTTCTTTGTTACATACAGCAGCCCAAATTTTTTTTCCTAGAATAGCCCTTGTATATATATATATATATATATATATATATATATATATATATATATATATATATATATATATATATATATAATATATATATATATATATATATATACATATATATATATATATATATATATATATATATATATATATATATATATATATATATACATATATTTAAATCTAGAAAAAAATTAAGGATCACATAAATGGGTACAAAGCGATTACTACCAGATAATACAGAAGGTTCAATTGTTATAGAATCTACACATCGTTCTACACCTCCACCATTAAAGTTGCGTATAAAACATCAAACTTTATCACAGAAGCTTTCATTAGATATTTATGAATCAAAAAGTGATAAAGATAAATACTGTACTCTTTTAAATTTTTCTAAGTCATTGCGCTTGACAGGGATAACTGCAGATGAATGTGAACAATTAATGAGACTTTTTAAGGAGTTAGTTAAACGAGAACCTGACCATATGCTTCGTGCTAAAGTTATTGAATTAATGGCAATTTTGTGTGGTATAATTGGATCAAATAAAATGCAAATTGTTGAAGATATTTTAGAGTGCCTACATAAAGAAGGTAAAGTTTGACTTTTAAAAGTAAAGTATGTTTTAAGTAATGTATTTAACCAAAATTAAATTGAATCAGAGTTGAATTTAATTTACGTAGTTAAAAACTGCATTATATTGAATAATATTATTATTGTGTAATAATGAAATAAATTTACAAACAATTATATTATATTTTATTAAACAAATATAAACTAAAACTACATCACAATTAAAATGATGCAATCAAAAATTCAAATAAAAAAATCATAAATGAATAAAATTAATAAAGGGATTTTTCTTTGGACTTAATCACTAATTCTAGTCTATTAGGAATTGGTTCCACTAATTTTTTTTGTTTATTCTGGGGTTATTTTATTCGGCTCTTCCAGCAATGCACGTTTTAAATCATTTTTATTTTATATGGTATGTTTACCGATTTCTAAGTTTAGTTTATGCCATAAATTTTCAATAATATTATTATCAGGAGGTGTGGCAAAGTTTTCATCACTTTAGGACAATTGTACAATAACCACTCTCGCATTATGTGTGATGTGTGTTTGGGATCGTTGTCCTGGTAAAACATAAAATTATCTTTTATGTCCAATTTTTCGACACTGTTTAGTTTTCCTTTAAAATGTTTAGATACATTATTTTGTCCATATTGCCCTTGATAAAATGGTAACTACCCACCTCATTAGCTGAGCAACAACCCTAAACCATTACATGTTTTACAGTTGGTCATAAATGTTGAGACTTTATCTCTTCACTTGCTCTTTTATCATACATTTACTTGACCATCTGAACCAAAAATGTTATTTACTTTCATCAGTGATTTAAACATTCTTCCAGAAGTTAAAATCTTTAAATTAGAAACTAATTTAAATCAACATAAAAACAAATGTCTGACTTTAAGTCTAAATAAGTCTAAAGATTATGCCACAATGTATACTTTACATATAATAACATTTTCAAAAATTTTGTTAAAATAATGTTGAATCACGAAAGCTTTTACTATGCTGCATCATTTTCACTGTAAGTCACTGTGTATATGTATATATATATATATATATATATATATATATATATATATATATATATATATATATTATATATATATATATATATATATATATGTATACAACCCTCGGAATTAGGGTCCGCATTCGGCAATGCTGACCTAACTGCTGACCTATATATATATATATATATATATATATATATATATATATATATATATATATAATATATATATATATATATATATATATATATTTATATATATATGTATATATATATATATATATATATATATACATATATATATATATATATATATATATATATATATATATATATATATATATGTAGGATTTTTCATTAGTAGAAGAATCACGATAAGCAGCGGTTACAGTTGCTTGATATTCAATGTTGCTTGTTAAACATTTATTTTATTATATATATATATATATATATATATATATATATATATATATATATATATATATATATGTATATATATATATATATATATATATATATATATATACATACATATATATATATATATATATATATATATATATATATATATATATATATATATATATATATATATATATATATATATATGTAGGATTTTTCATTAGTAGAAGAATCACGATAAGCAGCGGTTACAGTTGCTTGATATTCAATGTTGCTTGTTAAACATTTATTTTATTATATATATATATATATATATATATATATATATATATATATATATATATCAAGCCTTCCTAGGAAGTGTGTGCGGTTGCACGCCTTGTACATCTATGTTTAAAGTAATTTTTTTAGACATTGACCACAGCAGTTCGCATTCTATAACTTTTAAAGCATTTCAATAATTCACACAAAAAGCTAAACTTATCTACTAAAACCAATACTAAAAAAAGGAAACAAAATTGTAATGAAGTAGCAAATTTTAGTTAAATAAAATTTAATAATAATAATAAATAATTATTCAAATTTTTATACAGCTTTTGTATTTTTTTTTTAGGAAGGTTGTTATTTTTAGCTACAGAATTTAATAGAAGTAGAGAAAAAAAAAATTTAGTATTTTTATAACAACAATTTTATAATTTTATAACATCTTTTGAAAGTTGGTATGCAATTTATTCATGATTTTTATGAAACTTATTTGCTATGTACTCTAGAACTATGAGAAACTTTTTGTTATTTTTTTTCTTATGTTTTACATATTCATTTTCTCATCTTTTAGTTTTATTAAATATTTCTGTTATATTTAATGTTTTTTCTCAATACTTATATAATGCTTATATAATTAGAAAATAAGAAACTAAATTTCTATTTGTTTGTAAAATATATTATTTGAATAATAAACTTTGTAATGACAGAATATATATATATATATATATATATATATATATATATATATATATATATATATATATATATATATATATATATATATATATATATATATATATATATATATATATATATATATGTATATATATATATATACACACACACATATACATATATATGTGTGTGTGTGTGTGTGTGTGTGTATATATATATATATATATATATATATATATATATATATATATATATATATATATATATATATATACTATATATATATATATTATATATATATATATATATATATATATATATATATATTATATATATATATATATATATATATATTAAAAATATATAGCAATTAGTTTTCTCACTTTCCTTTGCTTTGATAAAAACAGTGAAGTTAAGTAAAACATTTAAAAAACAAAATTTTAAAGTTGTCCTTATAGCACAAATAATAAAATATTTTCTTATAAACTGACTGACTAAAGTCGCAAATAAAAAAATAAACCTGCTTTCTTTCTCAGCTTGTATTAAATTTAATAGTGGAAAATAACAAATATCCTTAAAAAAAAAAAAAAAAAAAAAAAAACG